AGTGGGGTTTCTGATGGGCAAGAGAGGTGGTAGGTCCATTAGTGGTGGCCGAGAAAGCTGAGCAGAAGGAGCACAGCCCTTGCTGAGAGTCAGGTTAGGTCTCCCGTCCCTTGAGCTAGCTGTAACAACCATAAGGCAAAGGAGCCCACACTGACCTGAGAGGACATCCTGTGTCCTGGGGTGCACAGTGGGTACTTGGCTGTTATCTTTAACCAGTCAGGTCCTCAGTTTCTGGACTGTACCAGGTCGGTGGGAATGGCCTGGCTGGCAAATCTGTACTTTTGGAGATCTGTGGTGGATAAAGTAGATATAACGCCCTCTCCTCTAAACCAACTGTATGGTTCAACTTACTCTCAACGTTTCCTTGCTGCTTTTGCCTCCTTTGCTTCGCTCAGGGCTTGCTTATTCCTTACAGTAGGCTGCCTGCTCCTTCAGCAAAATGAAGTTCTTTCCGAAATGAACTCAACTCCTTCTTGGTTTGCTTTTGTTTTGACACTCGGGAGATGACAGATTTATAGCCCTTCCTGAGTCGTAAGTTCATTTTCTTTCACTATTTACCTTTCGCTGCAGCCCATTCTGAGTGAGATTTCATTCTGCCTCTGAGCAGGGCTGACCTGCCAAGAGGAGCTTATCCATAAATCATTCCTTCCTTTTTCTTTCTTTCCAAAACAGCACTAGCTGAATTTGCCTAGGAGGAAAATTGTTCTGCCATTGCCGGCAGTCAAACAGTGCAATTAATTAGTGCTTTCCCTTTTCTCTTCCCTCCAAGTCTGTCGTCTGATGGGGTTGAAAGTCAGCCAGGGAGGAGGGGAAAGGGGAAAAGGAAGGGGATAAGATGTGTTTGAAGTATTTCGTTTTAATTAAAAGGTGATCTGGTGTAGTGGTGGTACCGACCGCATCATGTCTGGTGCTCAGAAGCAGCTTAGTAGAAACATCCCAGCATAGAATGGGATGGGACCTTAAAACTCATCCAGCTCCAACCCCCTGCCACAGGCAGGGACGCCTTCCACTAGAGCAGGTTACTCCAAGCCCCTGTGTCCAACCTGGCCTTGAACACTGCCAGGGATGGGGCAGCCACAGCTTCTCTGGGCACCCTGTGCCAGCGCCTCAGCACCCTCACAGGGAAGAGCTTCTGCCTCAGAGCTCATCTCAATCTAACATTTGACTGTGCTGCCTCTTGATTGTTTTAGGTGGAAACAGTAAAGTGCTTGGTGCGTGTTGCTGGGGTAATTCATCGTTTTCTGACTTTTTGGGGCTTCTTTTTGGTTATCAAGTGCAAAAGAGCAGTGGGTCAGGATTGGAATAGGTGCTCAGATACAATGCAGGAAAAGTTTGGGTTCAGCTGAAGCTGTTCTGAAAGGCAGGGAAAGGAAGAGCACTTCATTTCCATTCCTTCTCATTTTGGGAGACAGAGCATGTCACAACAGTGCTGAGCAGACAAGAGCTCTTGCCAGCATTTAATTTGTTGAAGATTAAGAAATTATTCCATTCTTACAATACCATTTGAACTCTGGGGGATGTGGAACTTAGATCTAGCCTCAGATTTCATAGTGTTTGGAGGCCAAAGCTTTATCAGGGTAAGAACTGTACAGATGGTTTAAGGGGAGTCATGTTAACAGTGTACCTAGAGACAATGGGCTGGCTCAACTTCAGCTGCCTTTGAACTTTGGAATAACTAGACCCAGAAAAGGACATTGAACTTAGGCTTGTTTCTTCGTGATTTAGAAGCTAGCTAGGGTGCTGAGGAGGCTGTTTCTGGTTTCCTCTATCTGCAAGGAGAGTTGACTGCTGAAGCATTGTCCCTTTTCTGGCCAGCAACAACCTCAAACCTCTTCTCTTTCTCTAAAATCTGTCCTTATTCTATGCCCTACCCATCTGATGTCCTCATCAGGCTGAGGGCAGAAAGCTGAGAAGTCTTGTACATGGCTGGGCAGATGCCTTCATTATTTACAGTGGTTTCTAAAAGCACCATCGCAACTGTTAGTGTCAAACCATAAGCAAAGGCTTCTCTTTCAAGCACAAATGATAAACAAATCTAAGACACTTGGTGTCAACAGCCTCACCAATCTGTTCACCACCTGGAGCTCAAGGCAACCCAGCAGTTGCAAACCACTAGTAGCACAGGAGTAGAACAGCCGTAAGGAAATCAGTGTCCTGACGTGGGCACCAAAAATAAGCCTGTACTGAGCTTTTCTGAGCGCTTGGCCAGGTCACAGCTGCTGGCTGCTGAATGTCTGGGAAATGTATCCCCCCATTCAGGTGCTCAGCACTTGGAAGCGTGGACCTGAACAACTCCAATGTCATCTGCTTCTGTAAAAACCAGCCAGTTCTACTCTGCAGAACCAGACACGTTCTCACTGCCCATTGTGGTAGGAGGGAAGCAGTTCTTTTATTCCCCGTCCTACCTGATTGTTAGAAAAACAGCCTGAAGAGACTTCCCTCTGTTTGAGGCAGATCTTAACCTCCGGGACCATTATAGTGAGCCACCCCCTACTCCAGGCAGTCCCACATGCTGCTTCCATGCCATCAGGAAAGCAAATATCCCTGATATTTGAGCAACCTGCTCTAGTGGAAGGTGTCCCTGCCCGTGGCAGGAGGTTGGAACTGGATGAGCTTTAGGGTTCCTTTTAAACCCAAACCATTCTTTGGTTCTACGATTCTGATGGCTCTGATATCAAACACCTTTTGCTGACCTCCCTTGAAGAGAGTTCCTTGTAAGAATGCCCTTGTCTGGAGGTTTCGGTCACTTGGAGCGTTGCAGGTTTATTACTGCTGATTTATTACTCCTTAGGAATCTCGTGGCTTATGGAGAGCTGTACTGCAAATATACAGGAGTATAAAGGTGAAAGTATCAACTAACCAGTGATCTGGTACCAAAAGCCACCCGTGAGCAAGGACAGGTTTCAGGCTGTGAGATAAGGCTCAGAGAATGAACCTGCAGAGGAGCAGGAGGTCTGGGGTGGGATGGTTTGAACCAGGACCCCCTAACAGCAGGATAAGGGGATATAGTAAGACTGGATCCCCTCCTTTACAATGTGTAAAGCTTGGGCATCAGTTTTCAGTCTCCTTATTCAGAGCAGGTTGGAACTGGGGTCTGTGAGGTCTCTTCTTGTTTAGCCTCTGTGAATGAGAGCAGAAGAGCCAAGTCCCGTTGGTGAACCTCATCGCTCCCCTAGGAACATCTCTTATGGTAGAGGTGGCTTCAGGTTCCTGCACAGGACTTCTGGATATAGGCTATGGGAGCTGGATCTGTTTTACCTTTTGTGTAGCTGGGTGCATGAACGTCAGTGAGGGCAGAATTAGTACTGTAAAGCAAAGGATAGGGCACTCTATCCTAATTCATGATCTTGGAGCAGCCTCCGAGGTTTTAAATCAAGGCAGAGTTTCTGCCAGGTTCCTTGGTGATGCTGCAGGACAGCTGAAAAAGATCTGCAGAAAGAAAAGGTCGATTTTGTACAAACTTAAGGTTCCCTGGAAATTCTGTTCTCCTCTCTCAGGAACTTATTTGGTGCTTTATTTTAAATTCAATGGAAATAGTTTGATATTTAGCACAGTAGAGATGTGGAGGAGAAAGCAAGGGTTCAGCCCTGGTCTGCCTAAACCCCAGGCTGTAGTCCCAGTCTTGTTTAAATCCCAGTCTGTTGGGATTTAAAGCATTTTGGCAATAATTTTCCAACCTTACTTTGTAAATGGATGGATTTTTCACAGCTTGCAGTGGTTGTGAAGAGAAGTGACGACCAACAAGCTGTGTGATTCCTTGGTGTACTCTGTGCCTTGGACCTAGTGTGTGCCATCACGACCCTTCACTCAGGGGAGGAGGATAAGAATACCCTCATATAGGGATATATGTGCTGATGACCTTATGTATATATATATCAGGTCATCAGCAGGCCAAGCTGACAGCTCCTTTCTTCCACTGCGACAAGTTACTCACCAAAATAGACTCATTGAGGTCTACAGATCATTATTTTCATTAGTGGTGATTCACATGAAGAGTTGCCCAATCAGACCTGCTGGTGTAAGGTGTTCCTTTCCACAGCACCATTTATCTGAACATCTCAGAATACTTTATGTACATTCAACTTTAATCCATGTTTTTCCAACAGTGGAGTAGGTAAGGAGAGTTGTTTCCACTTTGCAGATGAAGTAAACTGAGGTACAGAGCAAGAGAGTCACTTGCCCAGGACTGCGCAGGCTGGTTGCAGAGTTGAGGGAGTACACTCTTGTACACTGAGCAGAAATCTGTCTATAGCTGTAAATTCAGGTCTGATGTGAATCAGAACTTCCGGTAGTGTTCGGAAGCATTCAGGTTTGTCACCCCAGAATGGCCCTGATCTCCAAGGATCAGAGAAGACTGGCTGGTTTTGTTTTACGACTGGTATCAACTGGTTGGATGTAGAGTTAAGAGTCAGTGAAGAACTTTGCTTTGGACCTGTTCATCCTTATCTGCCTGTAGTCTGTGTCGACAGTGGAGGACGAAAGTGTGCTTCATCTGACTATCTGGTTAGTAGGTAACCTTCAGTTACCTACTAAAGGATGAGATGAATTGTGACTTGAACTCCACGGTCTGTTGCCTGTAAGGGGAGAAAAGGTAATTATCTCAAGTGAACCCAGTGCTAGTGTCCATAGAGAAGCAGACTTGCACGAACGGGTCACGCAAGATGATGTCATCGATGTCATCGTTTGCTTGGAGTTTAATCTCTTGTGGTAATTAGATGACTTCAATGGTGAGTGTTATAATAGCTCCTAAAACACCAGTCATCAATGGAAACACAGGCCTTCCTTTCCCTGTGCTAGAGATATGCACATCAAGATTCCCAGCCCAAGGAAAGCTATGAAGTCTGGGAGAAGGAACAGATCCAGAGAGGGGAAGTGATTTGCTTGTGGTCATTAGGACAGAGCCAGGAAAGGTATTCCTCTCTCCCTGCTCTCTCTAGTGCTCCCATTACCACACTGCCACTGAACTGGCCTTTATCTCCCTCTGCTTCGCCCTCTGCCAGGCTCCCCTTCTCTGCGGGCATACCCTCTCATCTCCGTCATCACCCGGCAGCCCTCCGTGGTCCCTCACCTCATCCCTGCTGCCACCAGCTCCCGTGTGCTGTCAGCCCAGACCCCACCAGGCACTGCCAGCTCTGAGGCACCGGCCAGCGAGACCCATGGCAGCAGTGAGTCAGAGGCAGAGCAGCCCACACCTCGGCTGAAGAAGCCACGCCGGAGCAGGACCATCTTCACCGAGCTCCAGCTGATGGGCTTGGAGAAGAAGTTCCAGAAGCAGAAGTATCTCTCTACACCTGACAGGTAGGTCAGACTCTTCCACTAGGAAAAGGAAGGAGCAAAAGGGCTGCTCTGGACCTGCTCAGCTCTTCCCATACTGACTGTAGTGTGCTGCCTTCTGGCTCCACAGACATGCCTCTGCCATTGGCCAGTGGGCAGATGACCAGATTCAGTTTCAAGGCTTAACTTTTCCTGGGATAGGTAACTTTTCCACAGATAGATTAGCTCAATGGAAAGGCCACGTGGTGATATATGTGGTTGCTAGCAGGCATCGAGGCACAGAGACAGGCAAAGTACTGAGCAGAAGGATCTCAGTCTTT